CTGATTTTTATTTGGGATTGTCAGGGAAATCCGGCTTTCCCAAGATTTATCTTGTGCGGGCGTACCATCAGCTTCCACTAAAACGGCATTATCACATCTTTGTTTGTACGAGTTTATTGGTGTACCTTTATGCCTTTGCAGTGCGATACAGTCTTTTCAGCACTACATGGACCAAGTCCTTTGTGGCCTAGACTTTGTTTTTGTCTACGTCGACTTGTCCTAATAGCCAGCGCCATACTAGACTTCCGACAAGTAGTTTAAAGCTTTGAGCTTTCCGGGATAATCAATTATCCTGATAAACGTCTATTAGGTCAATCTTGCGTCGAATTTCTTGCTCACAACGATGCTAGCAAAGACATTACTCCCATCCGTCACAACGAGACTGGATCTTAACGTGGTGTGACGGTTTGCATGCCCACTTGACCCTTCGAGCTATACTGGGTGGTGCCTGCGGGAAGCTTGAGAGGTACTCCTACCCCTACCTGGTCCTCCAGGTTTGGGGTTTGAAATGGGATTGCGTCCATTTCTTTAAAACTAAATCACTGACACCTCCCGGCTACTTTGTGGACAGTCTTTGGAGCCAAAGGGTTTGGATGAGGACTCTAATCGTCCTCCTGTCTAGGTCTGGTCACCCTGGCACTATCCCAGCCCACACACAACCATGACTATTTCTTCAACCATAAACTTTATCCTGCATCGGCCATTGCGCAGATCCTCAAGGGTCGCCTTATCTGCTGCATACAGCAGGGCGGATAAGCGAAAACATACTAGTTCTGGCACCTCCCTTCTTTCTTTTCCACCTGTTTATCTTACTCCCATCCTGACTCCCATTATGAAACTTCCTTCTATAATTCCCAGCTTTATTGACAGCAACCGAAGTGCCACTGGAGTAGAACCAAATGCAGCCACCTTCTCTCGATATGCACCGGACGCCTATCGGCAACAGTCCCTTATAAGGCCACGCTGTCCCGTTTCCATGGCGACATTCAACGTTTGCACTCTAAGACAAGTAGGTCAACAGGCTGCACTCACACGCACCTTGGACACACTGGGTATTGATGTGTATTGTGTGTCCGAAACTAGGATTAATGACACTAATGGGGTTATTGAATTAGCTGCACCCGACTTATCCTCTCGTTATTGGTTACACGCATCCGGAGACACCGATGCAGCACTCACAGGTCAGGCTGGAGTAGGTATCATTCTAAGCTCCAAGGCTAAACCACCGTTGGTCAACTGGATTTCGGTGAACAGCCATTTTATGTGCACCCAACGTTGGTTCACGAAGTAGTACAAAAAGTTGTTTTATGTGATTTCTGCTTATGCCCCCACCGACAATAGTTCAAAGCTGTCAAGGACACATTCTAGCAGGAGTTGAACGCGCTAGTACGCAGTGCTACTAGTCCAGATATTATAGTATTTGCTGGGGATATTAACGCACAGGTAGGGCTTCTGAGGTCTTCAGAAGCTCAGCTGGAGACAATTATGAGCTTCACGCCAAACGGACTGACGACGGTGTGCGTCGGCTGCAACTGTGTGCGGAGCACCAGTTGTTCCTTAGTAGCACTGCTTTTAGACCCAGTGGGCGCCGAAATGCCACTTGGCGTCCTCCTGTAGCTTGCCAGACATGGACCCAAATTGACCACATAACCGTAGGTTACAGGTGGCGTGGTTCCATCCTGGATTGCAGCTCGTACAGGAATACCTGCGTCGTTTCTGATCATATCTTGGTACGCTGTCGTTTCTCCATGAACTTTACCGGGAAGCGCACCAAGCGTCCCTTCCGACTGGCAACTGAGAAATTGTCTCAGCTCTCGGTCAGGCAAGCTTATCAAGACGCACTGCACACCGAAATTTCGCTGTCTTGTTCTAATGACACCGAGCTTCAGTGGAATAGGATCTCGGCAGTCATGCACGACGCAGGGACATCTGCTTGTGGCACTATCCATCCTCACCGCACCAGTCACTGAATATTCGAGAGATTAATGAACCTGTTGGAACCTAGAAAAACCTCCCGGTTGACTCTGAGCACAAGGTGACCAGACGGACCATCAGGCGCGAACTAAAGCGGAGCTTAGTGCTGAACAGGAAGCCTGGTGCAGCACTCAGGCTGAAGAAATGGTGGAGGCAGGAGCAGTACGCAATTACCGCAAACTCTTCCAGCTAATACGCACCACTGATCCCGGAAAATCAGGTGTCAGTAAGACAATCAGAGACCGCGCGGGTGCGCTGATACACAATAAGGAGCGCCGTATGGCTCGTTGAGCGGAACATTCAAGATCAGTTAAGCTGGCCTCTTTCTCCCTGACTTCTTCCAGCTCAAGTGATGCGGGACGAGACATGGACGGTTAGTTTAGAACTCCTGTCGGAGTCCGCGGTCCGAAACGCGATCACAGCCCGCAACCGTTTCTTTGTCGCTGACCAGGCTTTCCTCCCACCTGCACTATTTGTGGATGGAGGTGAGGTGCTCTGCAAAGCACTTACTCCCCTATTCGAACGTATCTGGAAGGAAGAGAGTGTCCTGGCTGATTGGAACGGATTGACTATAGTGGCAAAATACAAGAAGGGCAGTCGTGCAGACTGTTCTAACCACAGGGGTATAAGCCTAACACCAGTTGTGACGAAATTACAGGCGTGAATGCGCGTTCGACGCCTCAATGTGGAACAGGCATCTCGGATTAGGAAAGACCAGGCAGGTTTCCACCACAACGTGGCTTTTAGACCATATATCCATCTTGCGCAGATGCTGGAGCATCGCTAAGCATACCGCAGCCCGACAATAACTGTGTACCTTGATTTCAAGCCTAAGTTCGATCCAGCCGATCGTTCGATTCTGTTCGAAATGCTTACGCGGAAAGGTGTTCCCACCAAATATGGGAAATCCTTCGTGCTCGATACCCAAACACTACATGCCTCTTCAAGATCTAAGCTGGCCTGTGGAATAGCTTTCCGACCACAAGGGGCGTTCGTCAGGGCTGTCCGCTTTCTTCATTTTTGTTCTACTTCGTCCTGGATTCTATCATGAAGTGTACCCTTGCGGAAGCACATGATGTAGGCGTTAAAGTGCTGCTCGTGAAAGCTTAGTTGATCTTAATTACGCGGAAGATATCGCCTTCCTTTTCGGCGATGTTGTGGCGGTATAATCAATCCTGATTAGTTTGTCTAGCGTGGTCCCATTATTTGGCATGCGCTTTGAAACTCTAAAGTGCAAAGTATTGCTGCAAGACCACCACCCTTGCTAAAGGGGAACGCGGGGTGTTGATCAATTCACTTATCTCGGCAGCTGCACCAGCAATGATGGGCGCATAGAAACTTACGTCAGCTCACGCACTGCAAAGGCCAGAGCTACCTTCTTAAACCTGCGGCATCTTTGGCGACTGAATGGAGTTCCACTACGTCTGAAAGGCCGGGTATACAAGGCCACAGTGAGAGCCGTTCTGCTCTATGGTAGTGAGACTTGGCCTTTTCGGTCTGAAGACCTGAGGCTCCTTCAATCTTTGATCATCGTTGTCTATTAAGTAGTGCTGGTGTCGGACGTCACCAGCGTGTCAACAAGGATGATGTGCGTAGGGGAGCATTATGTGGTGATAATCATGCTAGCTCAATAGAACAACAGATAGCACTGAATAAGTTGAGTTGGCTTGGGCACGTGCTACGTATGCCTGGTCACCAACTACCTAGGAGGGGCTTGTTCAGTCTACCAGGTGTAAGATGGCGCAAGGCTCCAGGTGGACAGAAGCTGACTTGACAGCGCGAAATGAAGTTACTGACGACCAAACTGGGTGCCGTAGGTCCGTCTCGCCTTCCGGGCTGGAGTCCGCGTAACTTGTCTTCTGCTTGGCTCAAGAATTTACAGCACTTGGCTAGCAACCGAAACCAGTGACACGTCTGCTACCGTCTCCAGATCGGATTGCCTGCTTAAAGTGTGTTTGGTGCTGAGTTATCTGCGGGATAACAGCTGGTTATGATGCATGGCTGTGTAAGATTCAGGGAAGTTGTCTAGCCGATCCCGCCTTATCTTTGCCCTATAGCCAACTGTTTGTGACGGTATGTTGTCTACACAAGGTGTTTGCGCCTTGGTCCTGAATGTTTGCTTAGGACATTAAGGTTTTCAGCTAAGTCCCCCTTCTGTCCTTCTTCTTATTCTTTACTTCATAGGTCATCGTGGTTGTATGGCAGCAATTCATCAGTTCAAAAGGGCTGATTACTGCTGCTGTTGTTGTTGTTGGTATCCCTGAGCAAACCCAGGCAATCCTGGACTATCCACTACAGCAATCCGTTCAAAACCTGCGCCGATTCCTTGGCATGGTTACTTATTACGGAAGATTCGATAACAATTGTGTCGCCTTTGACTGATTTACTTAAAGTTAATCCAAAGGAGTTCACCATTACGCCAGAAGCCGAAACAGCGTTTGTTGCCACCAACAAGAAGTTGAGCCAGGTAACATTCCTGAGCTACTTGGACACCGACGGGAAAGCTACCCTCGTTCTCAAGGCTGGTGCCTTACAATACGCTGTCGGTGCTGTACTATAGCACCTGATTGGCGAGGAAATTTACCCGCTGTCCTTCTTTTCTCGAAAGCTACAGCCAGCACAGTCAAGCTATAGTGCTTTCGGTCGCCAACTTCTCGCGGTCTACTTGGCCACCAAACACTTACGTCACCTACTTGATGCACGACGTTTTGTAATCATGAGGGTCCACAAGTCTTTGGTCCACGCTTTTCGTGTCTTTTCCGACCGCTATTCACCGAGAAAGACATGACACATGGATTACCACTTACAATTCTCTGTCGGTATTCGCTATCTTGACGGTCCAAATAATGTTTTTTGCTGACAAACTTTCACGTGCTCAAATACATCAACATTCTTCCTCTCCAATAGATACTGGGGGTTTTCTACTGCCCAGAACAACGATCTTGCACTCGCTTAGCTTCGATCAAATGTCACGGTAACATTCCTGCATCAGCCTATCTTAAACTCAGACGCAAAGATTCACTGCGATGTCTCTACCGGTTAGACGAGACCGTTCATTCCCCAGTCCTTCCGGCGAACCGTCTGTCCATTATTATGGACAATCGCATCTTACCATTCAATCCACTGTGAAGTTGATTACTAACCATTACACCTGGCCTAGTATGCGCTCCGACATCCGTCAGTGGGCTAAACATTGTTTCTGCTACCAGAGCGGCAAAGTACACAGATACGTTATCTCTGCCCCCGGATCCTTCTTATTACCCGAAGCGAGTTTTAGATGTGTCCACCTAAACATACTCGGACCGCTTCCTCCATCAAACAACTTCACTTTCATTCTGACTTGTGTTGCTCGTTTTACTCGTTGGCCGCATGCCATTCCTTTACATGACGTCTTAAGAAACTGGTGCCTTGCGTTTTTCGGCCCGTGGATTTTATTCTTCGGTGAGCCATCTACGATCAGTACAGATGGAGTACCTCAGTTTAGTTCCACTTTGTTCCGTGACTTAAATCATTTTTGGGTTGTCCCCACGTTTGGACAACTGCTTATTATTCAGCTTCGTATGGGCTTGTTGAGCATTTCACTGATGGCTTAAAGTCGCCATCACAATTAATGCACGTGACTCAACTTGGTCAGCCGTCCTTCTTGGTATTCGTAATACCTTCAAATAGGATATCGGATGCAGCCCTGACGAACTCGTTCTTGGCACCATGCTCAGACTCCTAGGTGAGAGGATTTTGGATTCCCGAGTCACTAGTGAACTGGATCTGGTGTCCTAGGCTGAAAGTCTTAAACCACACTTCTGAACAATTCGACCTACGTCTACGCTCTTCACTGCCCACGAACAACGAATTCATCCGGACTTACACACTTGTCCTTTTGGTTTCATTCCCATTGGTGCAGTTAGCATGCCGTTGACACCTCCTGATGAAGGTCCTTTCAAAATGTAGTTACGGAAGCCAAAGTATTTTGTCCTTGAAAGGAATGGATAGAAGGAGGCTGTGAGTATTGACCGTCTGAAACACGCGTATGTCGAGTTTATCGTTACCTTGGATGATCCAAACTTGTTACCCCTGTTGGTCAACTGACTGATTCCAATGCGTCAGAAAATTCATGCACTCGCTCAACGAATAATCTTAAACACACACGTTCAGGACGTTCTGATTTTTTTCATCCAAAAGATCTGTGTTTGTTTCCTAAATAACGATATCGATTGTCCGCTTATCAGTTCACGCTCCATGGGGGTGTTATGTAGTGGTTATTAATCTTTTACATTTTTTTCTTCCTCTCATAAAGTTTATCATGACATCTTTTGTACAGTTTGTTTGAATCAACGCTTACAATATACTTTTTTTGGCCCGCGATCCGTCATGTTGATTTTTGGCCGCGCTGCTTCCGCTTGTGTACGGTGCTGTTAAGTCTGTTGCAAATCGGACATTAGACTCGGAATTACTATTTATCGTCTATTTTCATCCTGCTCGAAGTGTACCACTAGTATAGTGCAACCTACCATTGGAACTCAACTGTGGTTGAATGGTGAGTTTACTTTTTCCGAATTTTGGTTTTATTAATTGACTGAAAGCTTCCTGTTATTCTTTCGACCACAACACAACTGTCCCTATCCTTTTCACTTCGCTCATCAGACCAACCTATGAATACGGTGGCCTAGCTTAACATGCAAAAATACAGTGGGAAAAGAATGCTGGAGAAAATACAGCTCCTTGCAACTAAGCTGATACCCAGCCTACGAAAGCTTCCGTACGAAAAACGTTGCGAAAGGATCGGACACTATACACTATCCCACAGCCGCATAAGAAGTAAACGTATTTTGACCCCTCGAATACATAAATTACTTTTACACGCTGCGATAAATATTTCAAGTGCTGAAGCTTTTTTGACCCGAGGACACAGTTAAAGTCTCAGGGTTCCGGTGCGTGAACAATGTGTCACATCAGCTTGTTTAAAACAACGAATCGTGAACTTACGTAAAGCACTATCGAAAGGACTAATGAAGGCCGGTTCTGTAAAGAGTTCCAAAACACCTAACGAAAATTATTTCGAAAACGTGTGCTTTTGTGAAACACTGCACATACAATGCAAAAGCGTACATCGTGAACCCGGAAATATTGACACCAATATGAATTCCTAACCAAACATGAATAAACGGTTACTGTAACAAACAGTACCACTGTCAACTCGCAAGTGAATAGTTTGGTTTTTTTCAAAATTTGATAGTTATTTAGGGACGTTCCTAATTGCTCCTAAATACAGCTTCAGCCTCACACACTTAATTATTGGGTTTGTTTAGCGAGTTGATACTAGGAGCATCTAAATGTTTAGTAATACCTACAACTTTTGCCAGATACTGGAGCAAAATCGCACTATTTAGCTTATTTTAGTTTCCAAATTGCGTCGTCAAAATCATTAACCTTCTTAACTTCACAAAAGAGCATCGTTACCAATCTGTACTATGGCATCCAGCGGAATTCGCAGTAGGATGGAACAGCAGTAAACTGAGCAGCCATGTCTTCCAACAACTGGTTTAATTGACAGTGTTCGTGAGCACGGCCACTGATTAGGTTCACTGTTTTGTGATCAAACTGAGCATCTGATCCAATTTTAACATCTGTAGTGCATTGGAAAATACGCTCTTTCAGTATTTTGCAACGTTGAATTTTACGGTCGTTTTAATCTTCAGAACGTCCATTTGTTTTACTGACTGCAAATCCGTGGACACAAACCGTTTTGGTGAGTACCTTACTGCACCGTTCTCGCACTGGCTGCTTCGCTCCCTATTTTTGTAGCCTGCACAATATACGTTGGGTTCAGTCGCCTCCGACTTCTATATTGTTTCGTATTTGACACATCTTACGTGCCATTGCTTGCCGACTAGTATCCCAGACCACGCCCAACACATCTTTGAGCACAAAATTTGCTGATGAAGAATGCGGTGTAAATATGCATATGGTGGATCTGGTGAGGTTTTCAATTACTGTAATTAACATGGCTGCAACGCCGCTATGTATATCCGTATTCGCAGAGCCCTGGGTAGATGAGCATGCAGATTTACTCAAAACCCATTCATAATCACACAGTGGTGCCGCTACATCCTGAAAGCTGTCATGATGGGATGTATCCACATAAGTCGCGGATTTTTGGATTTCCGTGCTGGATTTTACAGTTGCTTCGGGAACACTGTGTTATACGTGTTATTTCTGTGAGAGTTGTGCACCAGTTTCTTTTCCGGTGTATTTTACATCTGTGCAAATTTGGTGAATATTCTGTGCTTAAATTCGGTGATCCCTCTGATGGACCCAAATGCTGTCTGTGCCTGCCATCTTGGTTTTATTCTACAGTAATCTAATTTGTGTCAGCTTGGATCACAGCGTTTGCATTCAGCTTTGTGACCATAACGCTTATACTGAACGCTGTGCGTCGGTCATCATTGCTGAAAAAATACGGAACCTCAACCAACCCACTGGGTCAGGTAACGAGCCCATGTTGAATAACAGAGAGGCAAATCCATAAAGGTTCTAAGCAAAAGGCAATTATGGGCTAGCAGAATGTCGCACATAATTTAAAATAAGTATGGCTTGTTCGCTTGTTTGGAATGGAATAATCTGATATGTGCAAATTTGTTATAACAATAAATACGATAGCAAAACAGCCCACAAGATATCCTTTAGTTCTGTACTCGATACGCAATTATCCCACTCGTTAGACGTTTGCTTAGCCTAGTCCAACGTGCGACCGGTTAACCACAGCAGCTGAGCAGTGGATTGAAGATAAGATAACCCCCGTGGAAGCGAGTATACACTACGTAATTGTAGCAGCCTTTAAGCAACGGAATGCTGCACAGTTTGCATTCCCTGAACCGCAATCAGCCATGTCCTTATCTCCGTCGTCTTCTCCAATTTCGCTAGAACGCCTGTCAAAAATTGCAGGTATCTGCGAAAGTCAAGCAATACTCATGGCAACGAAAATCAGGCGATGCCCAAAGCGTCCGGTTAAGCAGCATCCGCTAGACCTGACGACTATCATTAACAAGGATGAAGCAGCCAAATCCAACACTCGGGACATATAGCTGAAATGTCTGTTGTCCATACAAAGCCTGCCGGGACATTGATATGTATGGATTGGTGCTAAGGTCAGGCGATAGGCCGCAGTTGCCGTTTATCCTTTTGAAAACGCAGTTAATGCGAATAGAGCGACAAACAGTAAACAAGCAACACCAGTCAGCTGGTCAGGACAAAGGCTTACCTTACCTGGTAGATCAAAGAAAACGGTATCTAACGACAGTGCTCTGAATGCTTTGAGTTCAAATGTCTCTGAACCTACAGCGGTCATATTGTGTGGCAAGGTATTGAGAGAGGAAAACCAATGGAACTCATTGTGCATGGTGACGTGTATTAAAGCCAAACCCTGAACCTATTACGGATTACTCGTCATCCGAACTCTGCAAACTATGACGCACACAGACAGACTCAGACACCGAAACCAACCGCTAATGTAGGGAAGTTGTATTTTTTGCAAGCACGCTTAGACACTAATCCTATAGGATATGCATGCATCACGTAGTCCCTTGGAGTGCGTGAAAATCAAATAAAAACACCGTTGCTGAACACAGCATACAAAATTGCCTAAACAACATCTCCATGAATGTCATGCTAGCGCCACCGTCTAAAAATGTTCAAGAGGCAGGACTGCAAGATTTACTACAGTGACAGCACATTTGTGAAACACGTTCCTTGGAGTATATTGCACCACTATCGCTTAACAAGTTACCTCTATCACCAAATTATAGAGGATGTGGCCGTGGAATCCCAAATTTTGTAGGTCGGATGTTTTGGATCCATGGCGAACCCTTTGGAAAAGCCTTCATTCTAAGCTTGAGTTAAAGGCTGCAATAACTTTGCAAAGTTCAGATATCAAAGTATTTAAAGCAGCAAACCTACCGGTGACGATGCAGCAACTTAAGTTGCCTGCTCATTCACATCACTCAAAAGTAAGTCTAAAAGAAGATAGGGTCACTTCTTCAGCGAATAAGGTTTCAGACGAGATATCATTATCCCATCAAAAAAGGAATAGCTGCCGACCTGCCACCAGTCAGCATTATCGCACACGTTACACCTTCAGCACTCTGGGGCTTCTTGAGCGCAAAAAAACTAGTCTGCTTCTATACAAAGGCTCACGATCTTTTCAACAAACCGGCCAGAGCGAAAAGTCGCCAAGCGTTTGGGTTATATGACCACGGTATTACTGAGACGTGGTTGCACAATAGAATGACAGGCTCTAAAGTTTTGCCCCCTGGTGTGTCGTTCATACGAACCAATAAACACACAAAAGGAAAGGAGTGCTTCTGTATTACGGAAGCGACTTACATTGTCAATCTGTGAAGCTAAATAAGCACGGTTCCCCGACTTTGTTTGGTGCCGCCTGCCGTTAACAGACAAAGCCACTTGTCTTATTTTCCTAGTGTACCGACACCTAACTCTGCACACGCAATTGGCCGCCAGCTTTCGGGTAATCTGAAACGAACACTAAATGGAAGATAGGCTCAGATCCTTATCATGCATGTTTTCTACGTAT